CTTAATATATAGCAATGCGTGTTGTTATTTTATTATTTATAACACATATTTGGTCTGTACAAAGTAGTATTTAATAATAAAAAATGAAGTTCATACATTAAGTACACTTTGAGGTGCTTCTTATTTACTAGTGTTATAATCCTAATCCAAAAGGGAAATGGAGTTAGTTCATCAGCAGGAATTGTCTCACAATTATCTATTTCCTTCCTTTTCCCAGTCTTCCAACCTCTTCTAAAAAGGATTTAAATAGGCTTACAAAGCACTGAGACAAAATAAATTTAGAATAAATCAGAAAACACAGTGAAGGAAAAATAAATTTATCCAAGCCACATGGAACAACATGACATTATTAGCTCTTGGTGGATATTTATTGTCTATCTTGGTCCTCTTTCCACTGTTTTCTAGCTGTTTAATGCTCCCTTCTCTCAGGCTTCTCTTGTAGCAGGAGGTCTGAAGACTGCTTTGTCTTCTTACAGCTAGAGCCCTATCTGGCAATACTTCCTGTTAACCATCCTCTTTTGACTTCCTTAATCCTGCTGCACCATTGTAATTGCTCCCTTTCATTATTTATAACATATATTTGGTTCTCCTGTGTAATGCTTTTGAAGGTGCCGTGTTTCCTGCTAAAGACCCTGATTGCAACAACCCACAAATCCCATACCTTAAGTCTAATGGCCATACAAGTATATCACAAAGTATAGTTCTAAGGTCTCAAGGTGATTACCATGTGATAAACAAAATAAAAGAATCTCCAGATCCTCAAGAAAAGCTGGCCTGTTTCTGACACTATGATAAGCAAGACATTTTCTCTGTGTTCCTCAATGAGGTAAAGAGACCCCATTGTTTTTTGTCCTATAAGCCCTCTCTAATCATTTAGGGCTCACTCTCAGATAACTCCTTTTCTTTTCTTTTTCTTTTTTTTTTAAAGATTTATTTATTTGTGCATACAGAACTGGGGTACAGGCCAGAGGCTCAGGGGCGGCGAGAGGCTTCACCAGAGACAGAGTGGGGAGCAGAACAGGCAGATCGACGAAGTACACTGCTGAGGGGAGCAGCGGGCGGGTCAGGAGGGGTCTGCCACACCATGTGGTCACCTCCGGGGCAGGCGGGAATCGAACTCATGCGGAACTGGCTTTAGATTCTCAGTGCTGTGCTTTAACCCGCTGCGCCACCAGGGAGGGCCACAAATAACTCCTTTTCTTATCCGCACTCACTGTCTTGTTGATATGACCTAGTCACACAGTTCTAAATTTATTACACTAAATTTATTACACTCCCACTATTTTATTTCCAGCTCTGACTTTTCCTTGAATTCCAGTTTTCATTATGCATCTGCCTAACTGCCTATATTGGACACCCAACAGGCATCTCAAACTCTGCAGGTCCAAAACAAAACTTAGAGTGTTTGTTCCAAATCCTCTTTTCCTGTAAAAGGAAAAGTGAGGTGCAAGCTCTGAGTCAGGGGGTGGTGCTCAAAGCCAACTTGATGATAGGAGGTGGTGCTTTCCACACCTCACCCCCTGTTGGAGGCTGACAGGAAATAGGAAGCTTGTGTTTGGGGGCAATTAAACAGCTAGACTTTTTGGCAGTTAAACTACTGAGGGTTTGGCAGCTAAACCACTGGCTTATGGTAATTAAACCACTGGGCTGTGTTCTTAAGTGTGTGTGGGAGGTCCCACAAACCAGGGAAACCCAGTTCTCCTGGGTTTGCTGTTTCACTATTAGTCTTCCTCATTTTTTAAAAATGATATATTTTTTAAAGATTTATTTATTTATGCATATAGAACTGGGGTAACTGGGCTAGAGGCCAGAGGTGCAGGTGCAGTGAAAGGATTCACCAGAGACAGAGTTGGGGAGCAGAACAGGCAGATCTACTAAGTACACTGCTAAGGGGAGCAGCAGGCAGGTCAGGAGAGGTCTGCTGTGCCATGTGGATCACCTCTGGGCCCAGGGATTGAACTTGCACTGAAGTGGCTGCGGCCAGCTTGCAGTGCTACATCCTTACCCATTGTGCCACCAGGGAGGGCCCAGTCTTCCTCCATTTTAGTAGAGCATCCCATCATTCACCTGTCATGTTTGGGAGGGCAGTTAATAAATCCTAACACAGAAATCTGTCATCCTTAATTCCTTTTCCCCCACACTCCACATCCAGTCCATCGGCACACCACAGTGGCTCTGATTTTCCAAACACATTCAGAATCTGGCCAAGTCTTACTACATCCATCACTACCACTCTAGGTCAAATGGCCAAACTCCTTGTACTGTAACTGTGCAAGGCTACTAAAGAGCCGAAATATCATGGTTGGTCTTGGTGGGTTTTCACTTGTGTGTAGGACACAACTCAGGCTCAGGGTTCAACAACAACAGGGTTTGTTTTTTTTTTTAAAGATTTATTTATTCATGCATACAGAACTGAGGTACAGGCCAGAGGTGTAGGGTGGTGAGAGGCTTCACCAGAGACAGAGTGGGGAGCAGAACAGGCAGATCTATGAAGTACACTGCTGAGGGGAGCAGCGGGCGGGTCAGGAGAGGTCTGCCACACCATGTGGATCTCCTCGGGGGCAGGTGGGGATCGAACTCATGCAGAAGTGGCTTAAGCTTCTTAGTGCTGTGCTTTAACCCGCTGCGCCACCAGGGAGGGCCACAACAGGGTTTATTTACAAAGGAGACAGAGCAGGTGAGAGAAGGTAGGAAAAAGGAAAGAGGCAGGGTCAGAGAATCAAGAATGGTTTGAAGGTTGCAGCAGAGGTGATAGATACCACAACAAACAGCAAGAGCAATCCCCAGGGCCAGGATTGGACAGCACTGGACACTGGACAAGCAACAGCACCAGGGTATAACGAGGGATGTGTCAGAGGCAGGGACCAGTGTTAATTCACTCAGAGGTGCTGGGCATAAAGCAACCAGAAAGTGATGTCAGAGGCAAGGTCAGAGGTCAGGTCTGCAAAGGCATGGTGCCTGAAGGTAAAATGTTACAGCTCAATGAAGTGTTATAGCTCTGGATAAATCTGCCTCTTCAAATCCTCTTCCAAATTCCACACAGTAGAGGTAGGGGTCTGACTTAAATACTCTCCAGTGTGATGGCCTTTGGAGCCTGACTGGTCATTTTAGTTGACTGGCACCCATGGGAGCTCCAGTCAGGTTGGGAAATTTACAATCCTATATTTGCATAACTTCCACGAGAGGTCCAGATTGGAAAGTTTACAATCCTGTCTTTGCATAACTGCTAAAAAAGGGGGGAGGGAATTATTGCACCATTTGGACCTTATAACTGAACACTATGAAACAAGGTGGGGGGGGGCAGGGAGTCAGGACTCCAATCTCAGCTATTTGATTGGTCAAGCTCTAATCAAGTCAGTCCATTTTCAAGCCCTTTCTTCAATATCCTGCAACCTGATAGAAAAGGAAAGAGACTGACCCCTGCCCAGACTGGACCTGCATTGAGATCAGGGCAGCTCTTGAGCTTGAGGGCTCAAAGGAACCATGGCAAGAGCTAGTCTCAGTGGGGCCAGAGGCACCCATGCATGGCCATCATGGGGCTGTGTTTAATAGTTTAAGGAACCTGCTTTAATACTATATCTGCTCCTAACTGGTTTACCTTCTTTTATACTTGCACACTTCCAGAGCTCTACCACTGGCAGCCAGTGATCCTTTAAAAATATGCCACATCATGTTATCTCCTACTCAGAATACTCTAATACTCTGAGTATAATACCATTATACTCAGAATTCAATAAAGTCTTTAGCATGGCCTGTAAGAGATTCCATTATCTGGAACCTGACTACCTGTACATCTTTATTTCTTACCATTCCCTCCTAGCTTTCCTCTCTCCCTCCTTCCCTCTCTGTGCTCCAGCTATACTGTTTTCCCCAACATTCTATGACTAGGTCAAGCGCACTACTTGATGTGTAGTTTCCTGACTGAAAGACTTTTCTCAAGCTACTCATTCTCCAGTCACTCATTTCACTTAGGTATCTGCTCAAATGGCAACTCTTTAAATAAGTTTTCCTTCATCACTGCCCCATAGCCCACCATTTCTACTTCATGTTTTTTTTTTCATAATCAGTAATAAATATGTGGTAATATGTAAATAAGCCAATATAAATGTTAATAAAAATATGGAGTTATCTATTTAGAATTTGAGACTTAAAAACAGGGTTTTGTTCACCTCAACATTCCTAGTACCTGGTACAATATTCAACACAGAGTAGGTTCTTGATATTTATTAAATGAACAAAAGTCTGCATTTAGTTTGACCAGTTTCTTGACTCAAACTCAGCAAGATACAATAAATGCTTGAATTTTACTTATGAGTAGCACTTAGATAGATGCTTAAGAGCTTTAATTTATAAGTCCCTGACTTGAATTGTGCCCTCTTTGGGTGAGTACAACAAAGAAGCCCTTGGGGGATACTAAAAAAATATTCATCTTTTATCTGTGTAGTAGCTATATAGCTGTTTACAAAAGCACAAACCTATTGAGCCAGACAGACCCTTAAGATCTGTGAATTTCAAGTCGCACCCCAGTAAGTCTTTCTTATTTTAAGCCTCTAAATTAAGTTTCTGGACCATCAACAAATAGCTTCCATTGAGGTAAGAGCATAAAGGGTTGCACAGTGAGAGCAGTGAGAAAACCACTCTCCAACTTCTAAGATTAGCGGGCCCATTCATAGGAAAGGGTCGGCTTTTCCTGATGCAAAAGCTTCTTCAAAACCCTGAGGACACCTTCTTAAGGACTAAAGGATGCCGGACCTGTTGGGAAGCAGATCCCTGAAGTGCCATAAAGCACATACGAGCGTCCATTCACTGTGGAGCTGGGAGGAAGACAGAACAATGGGACAGCCTTTACGCTCTAAGTTATGTGCCACGTAGCTCGTAGAGTTGGACACCGCGTTCACGTGTTTGGAGGTGACTATTACAGGTACAGACGGTCCAGTAAACGTCACAAGCACGCGCAGCGACCCCAGTGCGCATGCGCAACTGTGAGGTGCTGCCACGCAGGCGCCTTCTGGTCCGGCGCTAAGCAAAGCGGGGGCCAGAGCCCAGCGGGAGGGCGCGCGCTCCGAGGCGCGCGTTATGGAACAGCGGTTAGCAGAGTTTCGGGCCGCTCGGAAGCGGGCTGGGTTGGCTGCCGAACCCAGTACTTCAAGCCAGAGCGCACAAAGCTTGGGAAAGAAGTCGGAAGCAGCCGCGACGCCAAAGGCAGCCCCGGGTTGGCTAAAACGGTTCCTGGTGTGGAAACTGAGACCCTCGAGTGCCCGGGTCCAGCCCAGCCTCGCTCAGGTGAGACGAGGGAGGCCTCGCCCCAGGGACCTAGCTTCGTGGCCTCCTGGGAAACTCTGGCCGAGGCCCCGCCCCAGCCCCATCCCACGTAGCAGCTCCAGACCCCGCCCCTGCCGAAGAGCGGCCCCGCCCACCACCGGGGCAGCAGGCCACGCCCCCTCGGCTGCTGGCGGGGGAGCCTGGCGGGCGGGGGTGGGGATGGTCGCGCCTGCCACCTTGTCGCGGACTGGGCCGGGTGTCTCTTGCCACAGGTTTTGTGAGACTTCCATAGCCATGTAGAACCAGCGCCCCTTGTCCACGGAGGGTAAAAATTAAGTGGTTACTGAAAAAGTGGCAGTAATTAAAACTCCGTTTGTTTTCGCACTTGGGCCATGTGCAGCGGGCAGCCCACCTAGCTTGTGCTTTAGAAATAGGGTTTGAATAAAAAACTTTGCCAGTGTCGCCGGTAGCTGCCGGTGGGGGCATAGTGCTTCCGCGGCACTCTTGAGCATTACAATAGAAGCTTATTCGAGTTAGTAATGAATGTTCGAGATGGAAAAGTATTAGAATGATAGCCTTTCACTGTTAATTTTTTGATAATCTCTCATTTTGCAGAAGAACTCATGAGTTTTGCCCCTGAGTTAACTGACAGGTAACTTACTAACGAGACTCGAGTGCCCGTGGGAATACTGGACAAACCTTAAATTAGTGCTTCTGAGATCGTGATAAGGCCTTTGTTTCTTACAAGTGTACAAGAGCCAAACATTCTTTTTCAAAATTAAAATAAACTGGAGAACAAGTGTACCATACTCCTCTTACAATTCTCTTAGGATCACTTATTATTGTGCAACATCTGGTTTCAGGTTTTATTTTTCTAAATCAAGGAGGACTTATTGTTATTCAGTTTTAATTAGATATTAATCTCCCAAACACTCAGGTTTCTAACTGACTTGCAGAAAGAGTGTAGCAGGATTCAAACAATCCATTTCCTTGCGTGCAGTTTGTCTCAGGATAACTTTATTGTTTAGAATTAACTGAGCACAATTGCTTAGATTTTAGAATTGACTTCCCCTACCCATTTTTCCTCCTCACAGTTAAAAAACAATGTCTAACCACACAATGAATTTTTGACGGCCCCGTCTCATTTCCAAAGGGATTGTGAGATCGTTGAGTTGCCCACAGAGAAGATGAGCTTGAAGATGCTTCCATTATTAAAAACCCAAAAGCTGACATCCTGACAAAAGGATGAGAGGAAATGCTGAATGTCCAGCAGCTTTTATTAATTACTCTGTTTTTCATAAGGAACTTTGTCCTATGCTCATTTTCATTGACTCAGTGATTCCTGGATTTGCTCTGATGTCAAAATTCTCACTGAATTTTTTCTCTCTGATTTACAGCCCATCTTTTTCTAATAACATTGTGGTACACTGGCTTCTCAGAGATTTCTTCAGCCTTCTATTTGTAATTGCTGCTTTCCCATACTCACTGGTGAGGGAGTATGCACTTTCCTCTCTCTGATTAGTCCTCCCAGATATTTCTTTCTGCAACAAGCTACAATCACATTGGGACAAAAATACTAGTAACTTTTTTTTTTTAATTCTGTTGAAAGCCCCAGCTTTCTTCCCCAGCCAGGTCCCACGCCTCCAGTATACCATCTAGTCCCTAGATTTCATTCATTCCCCACACTCCTGCAGCTCCTTGCCTCCACACTGTGGCTCTCATTGCCTTACTGCTCAAATACTCTCCTTTGGAGTCATCTGGCTAATCACAGCCTTGCATTAACCCCTGTTCCCAAATCAAGGTCCTTTTTTAATTTCTTTTTTTTTTTAAGATTTATTTATTTATGCAGTCTAGAGGTGGTGAGAAGATTCACCAGTGAGTGACAGTGTGTGTGTGGGGGGGCAGAACAGACAGATTGATGACATACACTGCTGAGGGGAGCAATGGGCAGGTCAGGAGAGGTCTGCTGTGCCATGTGGGTCACCCCCGGGGTCTGGGAACTTGCACTGATACAGCTGCAGCGCTTGCAGTGCTGCCCTTTAACCCATCGCGCCACCAGGGAGGGCCCCATTTTAATTTCTTCCTCTCCCTTACCATCATTTGTTCATTCAAGAAAATCCAACTGTGCCCACTATGCCCAGCCACTGACCTAAATCTTGGGAGGCAGTGTGGTCAAGACAAAGAAAGCCTGCTCTTGCACAACTTGCATTTTGAGTCTGTGAGGTAGGGCAAGGTAGGCAATGAACCAAAGATCCAGATAATGACTGCTATGAATGGCAGAAACCCAGAGCGCTGTGATAGTGAATGGGGACTGAGGGGGACAGAATTTTATTTCCAACTGGGAAGACAGGGAAGACTTCACCGGCGAGGTGACATTTCATAAAATGAAACCTGGGAGGTAGGCCCAGGGTACATGTGATGTTCTTGCCCAGGACTGTAAGAGAAAAGGGAGCCAGCTAGGTGATGTGAGGGGGATCAACACATGCAGAGGCCCTGAGGTTGGAAAGGAGCTTGGTATCTGAGGAGTAGAAATAACTTCCCTAAATTGTGCCTCTGTGTGCTGTGACAACCACAATCACTCCCGTACACAGTGAAGGTGGATTGCTAGTCAACCAAGAACAAGTGCCAAAAGAGGCAGAGAAATTTCCATCTCATTCCCCCTTGTTTGTTTCCTTTGCCAGTTCATTTAACATTTCCCTAGGTTTCTAATCTTAGCCCCTAATTACTTAAAAAGGGCTTCCCAGGGGGATCATCCCAGGGTCCTAGAGCTCCCTTGTCTCTGCCTATGACTAACTGTGTGACTAGGGAGTTAACATCTCAGTGGCGTCCTTGGAGCAACTAAATTGGAAGCAACAATGCCTGACTCCTGGGTTATAGGTCAGATACTCAATAAATGGCTGCCATGAGCATTCATCTTTTTATGCTTTCTGAATAATCAAATTCACTTTACTGTGGATTTCAAGTCATACATATGCAAAGTAGTCTGTATCCATCAAGCTCCATTTCCTCTGACTTCTGTGTCACACTCTAATCCGTGCCTGCTTCTTGATCACTGGGCCCCTGCATCAATGACTTAACGATTTCCCTGCTTCTACTCTTGCAGCCCAGAGTGGTTTTAGGTATAAGCATAATGTATTAGTTCCCTGCTAAGACTTTCAGTGGTTTCCCATTTCCAGCACTTTTACCTGGCCTGCCTGGCCCTAAATGTTCTGACAAATCCTCCCCCCTCCCTCCTCCAGCTACCCCAACTCTCCCTCTTTCCCAATACATGGCAGTCACACCATCCAGATAGTCACCTTGGCACAGTCCTTTCTTGCACAAAAAACACTGTCCACACTGGTCAAATCTGAAACAGACACTTGCTTATTTACTAAATGGGGGGGGAGGGTGGTGGTGTTTCTGACAGTATGTTAAGTGACTTTCCAATCTAACTGAAGAGATAATAATTATAGTGTTGATGCTGAAAAAAGAGGCTGTAACGAAATAGAATCTCCAACAGCTTAAATGTGATGATCTCTGTTTTTTTTCATTGAAACCAAGTAATACTTGTGGTTCCCTTTTAAATTTGCATGTGAAGAGTATGGGATATAACTGAAGAAACAAAGTAAAAATGTCCAGCTCTGTATTGAGAACCTACATGTATGGTGCTGTGGTTGACTCCAGAGACACCGAAAGCCAACAAATGGCAGTTTTGGCCTGTTGGTGCTTATAAACAACCTAGGGACACATGTGACCTTTATGAAAAGGGAAGGTGACATATCCCAGTGAAAAATATACCTAGTTCCTGCTCTCAGGGGCAGGGGTACCCTTCCTGATAGTCCAAAGAACCTAGGCATGCTCAGAGGTTACCCAGGCTTGTAGAAAGGAAGTCAGAAGTTGAGCAGGGGAGAGGAGACAAAGGCAATGTCTTCAGGGAGTAAGGCCAGTTGGAGTAGAGGGTTTGTTTATGGGGTGATAGATGGTAGATATATAGGACAGGAAA